CTAATGCATGAAAATCCTAACCTCAAAAAAATCACCCGTTATAACAAAACTTTACAAATGAAGTTTTTCAAAAGAAAACGAATGAAAAGAAGTTAAAATTATTAAAACAGTTAGCGCTTACTAGAAAGTTCCACAAAAAGTTGTCAAGTGTATTTCAAGAGCAGACAAAAACTACCGTTCCTGCAGATTATTACAAAAAATTTAAAGGAATTTTTCTAAAACTATAAAACTTTTATGGTTTCTGAGTCAAGTTGTTTTCACAGGCCTATTGTGAAGTCAAGAAGAAGAGAAGTTTTCAGAGACCTCAAAAAGCTAATAATGTAAGAGTTCAAAGGCTAAACAAAGTAGGATAATTTTTGCTAGGGATGTGCGATTATTCGATTACTCGAGCAAGTTGGTTAATCAATTATTCGGTTAATCAATTACTCGAGTAATCAAGATTTTGATTACTCAAAACGATGATTAATCGAGTTACTTGAAATATAATTACTCAAAAAATAATAATTGTGCTCGTAATAGAGTTTGCTTTGGAAAATGCTTATTTTCTTTTTTACATTCTGTGTATGAAAAAAAATTTTTGTTTTAATTTTTGAAAACAGAAACGTTGTTTTCAAAGTATCAAGGAACTTTAACTAATTTATACATATGTAAAGAGTTACTCATTTTACTCGAAATGTTGATTAATCATAAAGCATTTTACTCAAATATTTTTGTTTTTGGTTAATCAAAAATCTTGATTTTTCGAGTAACTGAACTTTTGAGTAATCATAATTTCCAATTAATCGAATAATTGAGTTATTTACTTTATGATTAATTATAATTTTGAGTAATCAATTAATCGCACAGCCCTAATTTTTGCTAATTTTGTGTGTGGCCTGATGTTGCACTACGGGTAATTTGACCAGTTTTTGTGGCAAAAAGTCGTTTCTCTGCAAAAAAAATACGCTTTCGGTCCTTGGCATTTCACAAAGAAAACTTCAAACCAAATAATGATATCTTTTGGTTTTCTAAAAAACGAACGAAAACTGCTTAGCAGGTGGTTAAAGTCGTTGTCTGTGAGTGAAATAATGGAATCGATTTTGTGTACTGTTTTTTTAGCTTTTTTGAACAGCTACATTTAAGTTAGTAATTGTTTAAAAAAATTACAAAAATATAGAAAATAAAGCAAAAAATGAGTACTTTTGAAATCTGTAACTGTTTTCTTTTTAATTTTTTTTTGTGAAAAAAAACATACTTTGAACAACCTTTGAAATTTTTTTTCTTAAAAATTAAATACGAAACAAGCTTCTAAAATTTTGGTTGTGCTTGGACTTTCAAAAACATGTAAAATGAAGAATTTTTAGCTTTATTCGTCAATTTCATGTTGAGTTTTTTGTGAAAATGGCTTTTTTAATATTCTAGATACTTTCGGTGGTGAACTATTTACTGTTTGGCGCAGAGCCAATAAGAGAGAGTCAATAAAGAGAGAAAACAATAAGCGGTTTACAATTTTGTTGCTGCGAAGGCTGTTCCTTTTAACTTTTTAGCAGATAATATTTTTCAGCGGAAGCTCTCTGGGTTGACAACTCATTTTTGATATTCAAAATAACGGTGCAGATCTGATGATCTTCACAAAAAATGCCTTCGCTACATACATGGATCTAAAGATATTTATGTACATAAATATGTATGTTATAGCTTTATAGATATGACTTTTCGAATAGGTGGCAACCATAGCCAAGAACATTTTCAAACTAAAACCACTTCAGTTCTTTGCACTCTCGTCCTTCTCTATCTCTTTGCCTTCTCTTGAACTAACGTTTTTGCTCCCTTCTCTTCGCTTAAGGCATTTTAACTCTCTCTCTGCCGTTTTGAATGAACCTGCGTGGAAATTTCTTTAGTTTTTAAAAGTTCAGGGGTTAAAATGTTCTTCGGAAAATTTGCAAGATATCTGAAGGAAGAGTTGTATTGAACCTATATTTATATGTATTATCAAATTCATTATTATTGGATTTAAGTTATTTTGATTTTATCTCTCACTATGTTTTTTCAGCGAAGAAAATCGACAGCAGCTGCAGAAGGAACTTCAGCAGATTTTACTGCGACGGAGTGAACAGTAAGTAGTTTGGGACGTCTTTTTATTGACTGAACAAAACCCATAGCAGTCATTCTTTTCTTCCCAATCGACAGTGACAAATCCGTGCGCACAAAACTACGGCAAAAATACCAAAGTTTTCTGGATGAGCAGGAGCGGCGCAATGAACGCAATCAGATGCTGGTGCAAATGCTCGAGCGAATAGATGAGCAATCGGCTGCTTTATCGGCACGTAGCGAGAGACTCAAAGGGATGAAGGTGAGTGATATTTAATAAAGTTTTCTTTTTCAAGACAACAGATGAATACGTAATAATATCTTCTCCCTATCCTATGCAGCTTCAATACGAGCGCTATTTTTCGAAATTAATGCAAACACAACCTGTGCGCTGCATACAAAATGCGACTGTAACCACTGGCGTTGGAGCGGAGGTCATGTCAATGCAAACAACAATGTCAGCCGCGGCACAAATACCCGTGCTATTGCCCGCTGTTGCCCCACAGCTTCCAACAAC